TACTTGTGAATCTAAAAGTCATTATACTAACATTTGTGTTGTTATTTCTTATTCAGAGCAGCATCAAGACAAGCAAGACTCCTGAGAAGACCAGAAGAAGAACCTCTTAGATATAATGTTTATAATAATGGTAGAGTTCATTGATAGTAAAATCATCCAGGTGAAGGCAAAGTTACTGTGTTTTTAGTTTCTTTGTTTTTCACCTGTGTAATTCTACTAAACCTATAATTCTCCTTGGGCTCAGTGAATATTAGTTATACTTGCTTTGACTTGGTCTGGGTAAATATCCACTTCTATTCACTTTCCCTGTCATGGAAAATTATTGTTAGTCAGCAATATTATCTACATAGAATGACTTGTTGTATGTAGATCATTTTCACCACTTTAAGCAGTAGAATGTAAAGGTTGTGGAATCTTTTTACTACAAGTAAAAAGTGACCACACCCTTTACTAACTTCACTTGTTTGGTATATATTTACTGTATGTTGATAAACTATGCACATATTCATTGGACACAAGAACTGGCTGACTTGGCTCTACATGGCTTGATGGCACTATTATTGTTATTGTTCCATTTATGCATTTGATTGACATTGAATTGTTTTTTCTCTATTTTTGACATTCATTAATTTGATTGCTTCCCAATGATTTATTTTACTAACCTGATATTCATTGATTGACATTATTTTTGAGTTATATCATTTATGAATATGAAAAAGTTTCTTTCTGAATTTTGTGCATAAATGCTTTCAGTAAAATTCACTTGCCTTCCAAAATCTGACAGGAATTTACCTTGATATTTTTTTGGGAATAAATTCATTCAACTTAAACATTTCAAAAGTCTTTTGAATCAGAAATTTGAAGTTCAATAAGAAAATCAATTTCCAACTTGAATGATTTACAGATTTGAGAAAAAAGCTTTTTCGCTGTTTCCCTCGATGATTTGATTTGTTTCAGTACACTTTCACTTCTTATGATTAGAACAATTTTAACAAAAGAAAGATTTATCATGTAGGTCATTTGGCATTGATTCCATTTACAATTTCAATTGACGTTTTGGCTCAAGCTGTGATCATGTTCAGTGAAAGTCTGCTGTACATGATGATAATGACTATTTTCATTGATGCATTGGATGATACAGAGGAATCTTAATAACTTAGGCTCCTCACCATTTACAGTGTTTATTTTAATTGATTTGAAAATTCCATTTGAGTCTCTTATTTCATCTCCACATCTAAAATTATCCTCAAATTTCTTGAGAGTTTAAGATATTAGGATTCTACTGCATGAATCATTTGATTATTGTATATTTTATAATGTTGCTGTGATGATCTTCTGGCTGTTCCCTGGTTTCCATCCAACTTCACAGTAAGTCAAAGTGCATGGTTTATCAACAAATTCAGTTCGCTGGTTATTTTTCCACTAACCTTCCTCTTCCATGTTCGTTATCATAATTCCATAATTCGTATTATCAGTTTGCTCTATTCTTTGAGTAAAGAATTTGGTTTGAAAGGTTTAATCACAAATTACGTTGTCACTGAGGATGTTAGATGGAAAATACCAGTTTTAATATTTTTCATTTAGAATTGAAAACCTTTTCAATAACTGGGGAGTTTTGATAACTGGTAATATGGTAACATTCTTGTGCAAGCATGAAAAGCAATGTAACAGATACTTTTTATATTACTTATGAAGTAATTTGTTTTGAAATATTGGCAAAAAAGCAGTTTATTTAAAATAAGTGTGACCAAGTCAAACGGATGTTGAACGGCAAGAATGATGGAACTCATTGCAGGTTTTTTCCAAGATAGGTTGCAGGAAAATAAGTGAAACTTGAACAAAACAAAAACACAACTACATTGTAAACCCCATGAAATCTGGAGCAGAACTGTTTTATTCTTCAAATTACGAATACTGTTGCATGATCACTTACATCATCTTTCCAAATATGGCTAGTACAAACGTAATGCAACAAACTCAAATAAACTTTCAACCAGTTTGTTTTCAACCAGTTTGTTTTCAACCAGTTTGTTTTCAACCAGTTTATTTTCAACCAGTTTATTTTCAACCAGTTTTCAACTTAGTGACATAAACACTAGAAGTGGAGCTAACACCTCTAATCGGGAATGACTTTCTTGTCATGTACCTGAACTGTTGAATATTTTGGAGTTTTTATCTTGAAAACATTCGAAATGAATTTTATTTGAATATACTACTGCAAAGATACCAGACACTATCTAAGTAGACAATGAAGTATATCTGTTGCAATAGCTTCCCATGTTTGTACATTATTCAACATGAAATATTTCTACAGAAACTATTTCATGTGCTCTTAAAGTGGTGAAAATTTAACATTAGTGACTGTGATTGAACACACCAATGGTCAGGTATGGGTTCTGTGCACATAATTCTGCTCACATCTTTGAATGTATGTTTTGGCTCTTCCACATCAGTTCTATAATATCCACAAACCATAATTCTATCATTCTGATTTATGTCAACTTTGGTGGCTAATCTAAATTTGTCTAACCTTCAAATTGTATGGGTCACCATATCATTTGATTTATGAAATCAAAATATTACGTTTATTTCATGGCATTTTGATGACAGAAATCCATAGGAATTGGTGTGTTCATATCATAGTCTGACATAGTTCTTGCTTGAGTAAAAGTACACAAGTGTGATAAATGGTATTTCAAAACGTAGCAAACAAATTGGCTTCTTATTTGCATCTACTTCAAGTGCTTTCAGAAAACTTTATTGGATTGGCATTATTCAGCCATCCCCAAGGCTTTTATTTTATCATACAATATCCATTGGATTGGGTCACAGAGACGGTCTTAATTTCAATTTAGTATGGAATCTTCAATGCACTATAATGAGCCTCTGGCTTGGGAGACTGAGTATCACTCCCTGCATGATCAATACAAGATCAATTGAAATCCACCATATTTTTTCTCATTTCTTGTCACAATTCATTTTCGATGATTGGATTAAATAATACATACCATTTGTCACTCTTGTTGTAATGTAGAACAGCTCATGTAGGATTGTGATAAACATGGTACACACATGTTCTGCTGGAACAAATTATCGGCTTTCATTACTTTATTACCTGGACTATACCAGCTTTGTCATGTGTCATGGTTTATCATACTGCTAATAAGACTGTTTTACTTCTGGTAGTACCGGTAAGGATCGTGCAGTTAAGACATTGAACTTTTCATGTACCGAAACCAAATCGGATACAACACATGAAAATGGCAGTGTCTTCATCAATCCTATCTGATGCTGTTAATTAAGGCATAAAACTAGTGTTGTCCATTACGAAAACTGTCCCAAATTAAATTCATACACAATGATAAATTTCTAATACAAAGTTAATAGTGTCGAAGATATTTTCCAAATTAGGAAATAACATAACTTTCACGTACAAGTTTTGGTGACTTTTTCAACCTCATTTTGAAGGACAACACTAGTTTTATTCCTAGTTTCAGTATTTTGTACTGGTCTTTTACTCAGGCAAGACCTATGTCTTTAAAATCTCAATCAAATGCACTGTCTCTGAGGTCTTTAGTTCATCCTATTCCAAACCCTTAAGGGTGACCCTCAACACTTTGTTGAGGGCCATTTTTTCTTAAGGGGAGGGTAGGTTTGAACTTTTGATCTCAGGGACCTTCGTCTAATTACCCTAGGGGCAAAAAAAAGTGAAAAAAGACTTAGTATATATTTTTTCAAAATTTATGGCTTTTTTCCACAATTTTTTATTTTTTTTCTTGTCAATTTGAATTTTTTTATTTTTTTTCTTGCCAATTTGAATTTTTTAATTTTTTTTAATGCCAATTTGAATTTTTTTATTTAAAGCCAATTTCCTAGTGTCTTTGCCAATTTGTGAGCCAATCCTACTTACCTTGTCTGTGGTTACCTGACTTGCCTTGATCCTGGCTTGTGGGTGGCTGTCTTCTTGCTTGTCCAATTTTTTTTTCATCAAAGAACCTAGACTTACCTGGGATTTGAACCTGTACCTTCAACTTACCTCCTGTGCTGGAGCCGGTGTATCTGTGTTGTAGACTGTCTATGAGTTTGTTGAGGGTAAAGGTTTTGAATTTCGTTATATCATAATGCTTGTAATGGTTGGCATATTAATGACCTAATAAAAATTCTTATAAATATTTAACGTCTTGTTTATCGTCTGAGCGACACAATGGGATAATTAGCAGAACACAAGAGGGGGATTAGTGGACTGATAAAGGTGCCAAGATAGGCACGAGGCACGAGAGGAATATTGAGAAGTGCTAAGGTGGCCATGAGATGTAAGTGCCCTGCCTAGGTGTGACTGGTAACGTGGTCTAAAAATTTTCTTAGTTTTTTGGCGGGAAAACGTGCAAGCTTGATGAGAGTCCTGTAAAAATCAAGTGTCGAAGAGCCAAAAAAGTTCTAAGTTTTTTGGCGGGAAAAAAGTGCGATTTTGAAAAGGGGTTTAACACGAAATAAACCAGACAAAAAATCGTTAAACATAATTTATTTTAAAATACAAGAGTACATTTCAAAATGGGCAGACTAAGAAATGATAACTTTGATAAATAGTCCTTGATATGGTACAGGACCGTTCTGACTACTCTTGATTTCTGGGTAAGCTTTGTAATCTTGTTTCTGTAAATAAAATTTAAAAAAAGATCAAATTAAGACTGGACAAATGGAATAGAAAAAAGCACAAATGTGAAAGTACGAGGAAAATAAATTTTTTCAATCAATTGTATTTTTATAATTGCCGTGACAAATAAAACATTTGCGCGCAGAATGTGTCTTCATAATATAGTTTTGTAATTTCCAAAACTTGTATTAAAAAGTGGCTACTTAGCAAAAAATAAAAGCTTCGCACTAAAGATGAAAAATGTGGCCCGAGAGTTCTTCTGTGACTAATGGCGACTCAAAAGCACACTTATGCACAATTATGCGCACATGGTGATATCGAAAAATTATCGTTGAAAATAATCAAAGTTTGATGTTCATAAGGAAACAAACTACACATCAAAAATAGCAAGAATCAATGGAAATTTTGCGCGTTTGTGAAACAGCGTTAGCCAAGCCAAGGACGGCTGTACGAATGTATTGAAAATAGAATATTGAGTAAATAAAATATATACAAACACTCATACCGATTAATCGAAAACTATAACATTTCACTCGATTTTATGAGTTTTTTGCAGCTCTCAGTTATTCAATGAAGTCTATAATCCAATTTACCTTTATTCCAGACATCCAGGGCATTTAATATGCCTTGTTTCTTGACTTATTCAGCGTTCTTTCTCCTTTCTTGATTCAGTCTTCAAGATGGCGGACGCAACCAGTTCGAACAGACCGAGTCCCTAGAGAACGAAAAACAAAGATAACAAAACAAAAGATAATTCTCAATTGGGATTTAAAAGTGAGAAAGTTGTTTTATTGAAAAGCAGCTTCGTGGGCTTCCTGTGCTATTCACAACACTCACAGCAATACACAGGAAACCCAAATTGTGTATATTTTAAACTTATTTTTCTCCTTATTTGTAAGCTCGTTTAGAATCTTTATTCATGCTATGATATAACACTCCTAGAGTTCTATCTTGTGCTTTAGTTTAGTTTAGAAACAAATGAAAAAAGTGCTTGAAATAAGGAAATTGCGAAAAACGCTATACCGCTGACCAAACCATATTATCTTCAAAAATTACTACCCCTATAAAAAGCTTGTTATAATTATTATTAATAAAATATCTTCAGAACCATGTTGACACGGTCCTTAGCTTTCCAGTGAGCTTTCCAGTATTTTGTTAGGAAAAACTTAATATTTCCATTTACGAAAATTTTGACCAACTCAAAAAACCCTTATTTCGAGATTCCAAATTCAAGCGGCTTGTTTTCTATGAAATGAAAAAAAAGGTCAACATTTTTTGACGCTCAGATTTAAAGCTTATTTAGTACTTTCTTTTAAGCTTAAAATTTTTTGGATCATAGCTTTTCTTAATTTTTTATCAAGTGTTTTTTGACGTGTGGAAGCTGTTGGGCTACCTGTGGTGGCTTTTTGCTCAAGCCTGGCAGTTTATAATCACGATTTTAAATTGAAACAAGACGCTCAAAGAGCGTATACTGGGTTGCCTTGCGCGTGAAGCAGCTTCGAAACGTCCTAGCGCTCTTATTTGTTAGTACAGCGTGCTGGACAAAATACGAAACAGCTGATACCCTACCAAAATATGGTGTACTTTGCATAGCTAAGAGTTTGCGAAGTAGAGGGAGAGATGGGGTTAAAAGACATGAGGTGTGTTACACAATTTTGATCTTGAAGTCTTTCCATTATAGAAGGCTTCCAAAAACCTGTTATACGGGAATTCTCCTTGCCACTAAAACATGGTATGAAACCGTTTCGTATAGGATTGAAGTGAATATTATGGATTCATAGACTTTGAAATGATTTCAATTGTTTAACTTTTTTTTAAGCGTTTTAGGATAGATATCTTGTCAGTTTTGTCGATTTGCGGCAAGAAATTTCAATGCGGTTCAGTTTTTCATATACCGGTCTACTAAAACCCTGTTATACATGAATTCTCCTCCAGTAAAACGTGCAAAAACTAAATCAAACAGTTTCATATGGGATTGAATATTATGGATTCATCCTTTTTGAAGTCATTTTAGTTTTTTAACTATTTTTTCAAGCGTATCAGAATAGATAATGGTCAGCTTATATACCGATCTTCCAAAAACCTGTCTTACGTTATTTTTTCATGTTCATTGTGATCTTTGGTTTATGGTTTTTAGCTTTCTGGGTTTTATTACTGTCATATTATAGCCATATTAACTAGTTTTAGTTCATAATTATGAGTGTATGTGAAGGCACAAACCATTTTCAAGCCTCCTTAACTAGGAGATGAAAGTCAGAGGTGAAAACATTTACTCTTAGATGAAAGTCTAGAATTCAAACGATATCTTACCTCAAAAATAGACAGCAGTTGGCATTAAAAGGTAGATGGTACGAACTACGAATTAGCAAGACATTTTCTAGCCACGGTCTCCTTCCAGTATGGGCCTGAAAACAAACAAAAAATCGATTCATTTTAAAAAAACGTTTCACCCTCAGAGGGACGAATCATGGGAGGGGGCGGACGAGGGTGCAGACGAGGGGGCGGACTTGTTTATAATATTCATAGAATACAAGAAAAGTTGACATTATTACACAATTGGAATTAATTCAGTTTTCAGGCCCACCCTTGGGGTCCCTGTGGTAAGGTGCCAAAAAATCATTATTAACTTGGATGCCTATTTCTCATTAAAAAGAGTACTTCTGGAAAGATTTTTGATTTTTATCTATGAATATGTAAATATATTTTCATATTTGGTTCAGTTACACTACGAAAACTGAGATCACAATCTGCTTCCTTCACCACAGGTAACCCAAAGGCCTCCACCGTCCAGAAAACACGCAATAAAAAAAGAAAGAAAACTGGGATCAAAAAAAAATTATACTCAATAGAAAGTTTGAAAAAAGCTTTAAATCTGTGGGCCAAAATATTTGAATATTTTTCTTTATTTCACAGAAAACAAACCGCTTGAAATTGGAACCTCGAAATAAGCGTTTTTTGAGTTGGTCAAAATTTTCGAAAATCGAAATATTGAGTCTTTTTAAACAAAATACAGCTCACTGGAAAGCTAAGGACCGTGTCAACATGGTTCTGAAAATAGTTTCTTGATTAGAGCAATAGTAGAGATTTTAAAGGGGTGTTAATGTTTGAGATTGGTCAGCGGTATATCGTTTCCAGCTTTTTCCTCATTTTGGGTGGTTTTTAATTGTTTTTTGTAAAATAACATTGACATATGTTATAGCTCTTAATACACTTTATATGGCGGTCATTAGAAAATTTTTCAAACTTCCAAAATATGACTAAAAATCCTGGTTATAATATGTGGCGGTTTGGGCTTCCTGTGGCTTGCGGCACAGACAATGCCACACAGGAAGCCCAACGCTGTAGCCTTGTCACACGCATCAGTGAAAATAAGTAAAAAATAAATTTTAAAAATCAGCAATTGATGCCAACGATAAACTTTTGTAAAGTCGTAAAACAATGCTTTGATTGATAAGTTTTTAAATTTCACCCGTGAAACAAAATGTACTCTAAGGTACAAGTCAGATAAACACTATACCAAACGAAAGAACGTCTAGAATAAAGTAGCGCTAATATGTCAAAGTGTATTTCACGGATTATCGAAAACCACTCTAGATTGCTTTTTTAAAATGTTCTAAACTTTTCGCTGCGATCGTGATTGCACTCGATTTTTCCGAGTTCTTAAAGACGTCATCTACGATCAATAAGAGGATACTCAAGGTCTTTGATAGATTTGTTAAATCGATCTACATGTCCGAGAATAGAATACTAAGATAATAACCCCTTACTAAACGGACAAGTTCTAGCTTCGTCGATACTAACAATTAGCTTATCTCATTCTACAAGACTACGTTACACACATACGTTCATCTACATATAAATAAGGAATAGAATTCACATTACCTTTATTCTTGTCTGGTACAAACTAGAATTAAAATAGTCAGTCGTTTGGTTTCCTTTGCTCGTTGAAGTTGTTTAGATCAGAATCTCCAGCGTATTAGACAAATGATGCATTCGTTTGTACACAACGTGCTTCCCTCGAGACCAAAATATTTTCGCGTCAAAATTTATGTGCAAATGGCATTCAACTACAAAGGCCTTTTGTTTTTGAAGGCGTTTTTTTGTTCCGTGTCGAGAACCCTAATGCAAATACACGACACATTTGTTTTTGTTTTATTTCTCACGATCTAGCAAAGACAATTAATATAAGAGTGACAGACCTAATGACGTCTCATTCTTCTCTTTTGTTTGGGTGGGTAGGGGGAGTTGGGGCGCAGAATAGGGGCCGTAGGAGGGGGTGTTGCACTGTCATGACTGAAGTTCCCACCCAAAGAATCACTAGAAAAAACATTAATTGTATATCTCATTGTTTTATTGAAGATCAGCTTTCTTTGCCATCGTACGAGATGATAGGAATAGAAAAATCCTTCAGTCCAAGTGTGATCCACAACTTGGTTAGATGAAAATAATTAGTCTGAACAAATTTCTCTACAGCGTGACGTGACATGGAAACCCTCAGTACACTGTCCCCTCCCCCCCCCCTCCCCCCTAACACACACATGCCAGCACACGTACCAAAATAAAACATCACTAAAATTGATACACTGCCTGCCAAAATGTTCAATACTGTCACTCTTGAAAAGCCATTATCTCAATTGTAATCTTTTTCCCCCTGATCAGAACAACGGCTTCCAATGGCTGCGCGCACATGTTGCGTCAGACGGTCAACTACTTGCCTATCCAATAGTCTTTTCTCGCGTCAGAGAACGCGAATCTTGATAATGACAGCGCGCACACCAAAGTAAATATGTGCCGTTAGCGTTATCAAAGACATGCTTAAATCGCTTTTCGTGATGATTATAAAGTAATGTCTATGACGCTGAAAAAATCACGACACGAAACGTTTTGATTGTCGCGCATGTAAGACGGAGATGCGCAATCTCATGTAAGGTGCATTTGCCTTCCTTTGTGTTCAATCTTGAGAACGCGCACAATCTCAAAGCAAATGCAGCTTTTCATGAGCAAGTAAAAAAAGTAAAAAGTAAAAAGTAAACATAGTAAAAATTATATCTCTTTCGTTATCCTGAGGAAAGGGTATTAATTATTTATACAGAACAGGTGAAACGCGAGAGATCAAAGGCTCACGACCGGGGGAAAACAGTCAATTGAATGTAGCAATATTAAATAAGATGTACGCGTGCGCATTAGTGTCATAGGAAAGAGGAATCGAGAGTTGCGTAGCAGTAGTGCACTCTCTTGTTACCATTGGGGTTCGATTCCCGGCATCACACATGTGAGTAGAGTTTGTTAGCTCTCTCACTTGATTCGTTTTTTTCTCCGGGTTCTTTCAAAATCTAATACACTAAACTTCAATTCAATCTGTGAGTTAGATGTGTCCTGAGCGAGTTTGATAAGCTCAGAGGTTGTTTCAGGGTATGATGGGAATATGTATACCTTGTGATACACAATAACCATATACATTTTTCCTCAGGTTTGCCCTTTCCAGTTTGTCGTGTTTTTTTTTTCAAACCAAATACAGATGAATGACAGATATAATATTATTCTGTGTCTCTGCGAGCGTTAGAATATCTCACTATTTAAATCGTGAAACCTGTGAATGTCTCTTATCTTTACAGTTGATATACAGGCATTGTCACCACTCGGATACGACTTGCACTTCTAGTCAACTTGTACAGCACAGCCAAATACCAAGGACCTGTAAACATTACAAAGAAATATGAGGTATAAATTAATACTATTATCATCATTGTAAAAGAACAGACAAAAAGGACAAAGAAAAGGAAAAGAAGAGAAAATGGCAAAGAGAAAGAGAAAGAGAAAGAGAAAGAGAAAGAGAAAGAGAAAGAGATTTAGACATAAGTCCATTGACCACGGTAAATAAAGGTTATTAATATTATCATTATCATCATCATCGTCATCATCATCATCATTATTATTACACCATTTGCCGTTCATTAAC